TTACATATTAATAATCATAGCTCCCATTTATTGAGTGCCGTAACATGGTAAACTGTGTTCAAGCAATTTCTTTTTTTAATCCAAGCAAACATACAGGGTAATTATGTTGCCACCGCCATCTCACAGTGGTAAAATTGCACACATTCAGAAATGTTAATCAGCTTGCCTGATGTGTTCTTTCGGTATCAGGCCCTTTTGGCTGTTTGAAACGATGCTCACTGGATGGCCGGAGAGGCCATCTTCTTGGCGGAGGGTAACTGAGTATATTAGGCCTGGTGTACAGTGGTGCCAACCTTCACAGACTTGTCTACCACAGTCTACTGTGTGGCCCAGGCTGGCCTCAAACTCACAGACACCTGCCTGCCTCTGCCTCCCAGTGCGGGGGGTAAAGGTTTGTGCACCGTGTCTGGTCCATAAGGGTCTTTAAAAGGGATATTCTATAAACCAACCTCAACAGTGCTATTTTGCTTTCATTTCTGCTCTGTCAGTAAATGTTTGCCTTAGTTTATAGTCCGAGTCTTCTGTTTTTCAGGCCCCAGACTCTGAACTTAACTGCTGTCAATGAAGCTGTGCTATTAGAAAATCTGGAAATATTCAGAAAGAATGGCTTCGATTTTGTCATTGATGAGGATGGTGAGTTTAACAATTAGGACTGTGGGGTCCTATGTTTTAGAAACTCAGAAGCTTGGCTTGCCCTTTCTTTGGTGCAGATGTTTGTTATAAGTAGCCATGGATTAAAGTGCTCTTTTCCAGTAATGGATTTTCCTTAATTTTTTTTTCTTTTAGCTCCAGTCACTGAAAGGGCTAAATTGATTTCCTTGCCAACTAGTAAAAACTGGACTTTTGGGCCCCAAGATATAGATGAACTGATTTTTATGCTAAGTGACAGCCCTGGGGTCATGTGCCGGCCCTCCAGAGTCAGGCAGATGTTTGCTTCCCGAGCCTGTCGGAAGTCTGTAAGTAAAATGAGTTCCACCGCTGGGGCCTAGGGGCTGGAGGGAGTTCAGGTTGGCTCTTGGTTTGGTTGATGCTGTTAAGCACCTTCGTGATGCTGTGAGATAGATAGAGCTGCATTGTCTGTTGGCATAGCATGACAGGTCTGCATCGTCTTTGACCTCTAACCTTGCTGTTCGTTCCCCGCAGATGTAAGCAGCGTTTTAGCTCAGAGTTTTTTGAGTCTAGCAGTTAGCTTTGTACCTCCTTCATCCATGGGCCTTACGGGTAATGCCACCCTGCACTGAGAAAGATTTCCTGCCTCCAGGGCAAGACGACACCATCAGAACTCCAGTAGAGCCATTTAGTCACGGGTGTCCCACAGGAGCTGTTTGCGATCACCGATGCTGTGTCCTGTGTACCTCATGTTTGTATGGCCAATGGTAAAGATGGGGCTGGGTATTAACCCAATGTCCAAATAAAGTAAGCAACTCCATCACCTGGCCACATTCCTGAGTTCTCCAGCAATTCCTTGAGCCCATGTAGTATACCTGTCCTGTTCCAAGTATGGTGGGGGAGAGAAATAGACACAAACAAATAATGACGCCTTAAGCGACAGTAGTATGGAATTTAAAACAGCGTGTGACCACAGAAAAATGTGAACAAGGTGCTCCCTTGACTGGTAAGCTAGCACCTCCATGGGTAAACATGTTCCTGATAGAAAAAAATAGTATAGTAAACACGGAAACCAGAGGCTGCCTCTGCCTGAAGAGTGAGAGCAAAGCAGCACCCAGGGGGCACACCATTGTCTTACTGTTTATAGTGCGAGTGAGTGCTGAGTTCAAGAGGGGTGGCAGCTCTGGGAAGCAAACAGGGTTCAGTGCTGTGTTGTAGGCTTGCCTTCAGAAAAGAGTTGCTTGTGGACCACTGGTGGGGGTTAGTTGTAGAGCACTTGTGTGCTTGCCCACAGAGACAGACAGACAGACAGACAGACAGACAGACAGAGAGCAAGGGTGCCCAGGATCTGGTTGGGTTTGATTTCTAGTCACACATCCTTGGTTAATAGAAACCATTTTATCTTGTAGTGGAAGTGTCAGAGCAAGGTGGTCTGTGTGGACAGTCAGGCCGGGCGCTTCACCCATCTGATGATCTGTGGTGTGGAGCCAGACATTGTATTTCCACATGACACATACTCCAGTCTGTGCTTGCCTTTCTAGGCCCTTTTCCTCCTCTGCTCCAGCCACAGTCAAGGGGCTGCAGTCACTGTCTCCTGTCACCTCAGGCCCTTTTCTTCCTTCTGTTCCCTACTTGGACCCGCTATCACTGCTCTTCACATGCCTGGCTCCCTCCTGTCTGCAGTCACCCCATATGAGACATTTGTTAACTTGCTTATTGTCTTTCTGCCTCTAGTGTGACAGAGCCCTGCCTTGTCCCTAGGTCTAGGTCTCTGCTGACATCTGGTGGACACTTCATGTGCTATAATAGGAAGAAAGATGGCAACAGAGGAGTTTAGGCCTGTCTGCATGCCCATCTCTACCTGTTCTTAGAGTCTCAGCATGTTGGGGTGTGCTATAGCATCTGTTTCCCACATGCATGTCACAAAGCTCTTCATGTTTTGGGAAGAGAAAGAAACGTACTATTTCACTGGAGTAGGCAGAGAATTTGAGCAGGAGCCTAAAGGAGGGAACACTTGCAAAAAGATACGGGGGAAGCAAGACCCAAGCTCAGGGAAGCTAGCTCTCTGGTTCCAAGGCTCGCTTTGTGCATGTGCATGTGAGGATAGTGTGCCAGTGTGGGGGAGGATGGTTGCAGACCGGGATGTTATCCTTAGTTACTGTTCTAGGGCTGTGAAGAGATGCCTTGAGCAAGGCAACTTATAAGAGGAAGCATTTAACTGGGGCTTGTTTACACTTTCAGAGGGTGAGTGCACAATCATCATGGCGGGGAGCATGTTGGCAGGCAGGCAGGCGTGGCACTGCAGCAGTAGCTAAAAGCTTACACCCTGATCTGTAGGCTGCAGAGAGAGGGCAGAGTGGGAGGGAGAGGGGAGAGAGGGCCTCGTGTGGGGAAAACTCAAAGCCCACCTCCAGTGGCATTCCTCCTCCAACAGGGCCACACCTCCTAATCCTTCCCAAACAGTCCACCAACGGGGAACCAACCTCAAAGCATGCGAGCTCGTGGGGGCCATCCTCATTCAAACTACCGCAGGTGCGCCGGCACATTAGGCAAGGACTCGGGCTTTTACTGGGGTAAAGGAAGAGCTGGCCTGGGAGTCCCAGGCCAGCCAGGGTTACATACAGTGAGGCCCTATCTTCAAGAAGGGGAAAAATAGGGACTGGGATGGCAGTTCAGCATGTAAAGTGTGCATCCAGGGGCTCACTATCTAGTCAGTCTAGCCAAAATAACAAAATGCAGGTTCAAGGAGAGAATCCTGTCCCAAAAACTAAGACAGCGAGAGACATCAGTGTCAGTCTCTAGCCTCCATGCGCTTAGGCATGAACATACACACACCCCAAAATAAAATAAACTTAAGTAATGAAAGTCCTTGCTGCCTGCTGGGTGGAGGGTGGCACTCTAGACTCCTCTAGTTGCCAGGGTGAGAGGAGAGAAGGGGTGCTGTGCCCCCACAGCCTGAGCCATGGAGCAGGACAGACAGAGCGCTGAGCTGTCGGAAGGCGGGGCTTCTGGGGATGTTCTTCAGGAAATGTTTTTTATCTGTGGTCTTGTCTGGTTTCATCTTAGCATGCTCCTGAAGATGCTTTAACAAAGGCCAAACTCTCCACTGTTGTCTCGTACTCAGGTGATGATTGGAACCGCTCTCAATACTGGCGAGATGAAGAAGCTTGTCGCTCACATGGGTGAGATGGACCACCCCTGGAACTGTCCCCATGGACGGCCAACCATGAGGCACATTGCAAATCTGGATGTCCTCTCTCAGGACTGATACTTACTGTTTGTGGGATAGAGGATTGCAAATTGTTCTGTTTTGGAAAGACGGGGTTATAAGTAACCTGTTTATCATGCTCAAAAATTAACATGCTGCTTCCGTGCACCGGATCCACTTAAAAACAATGTTAAGCCAGGCATAGTGACATGTGCCTGTAGCCCAGCTGCTTGGGAGACCCCGGTGGGAGGCTCACTTGAGCCCAGGTGTTTTAAGATCATCCTGAGCTATGTTAATAAGACTCCATTTAAAAAAAAAAAAAAATTAAGCCTTTTCACTATTTTGTCTGCAGTTATTACTCTGCAATTTGAGTGTGTGTGTATCTGTCTCTCTGTCTGTCTTAGAAAAACAAGAGGCAGAGGCAGGTGGATCTCTGAGTTCAAGGCCAGCCTGGTCTGCAAAGCAAGTTCCAGAACAGCCAGGGCTACACAGTGAAACCCTGTTTGGGAAAAAAAAAAAAAAAAGAGAAGACCACTTTGGAAGTTAGCCAGTCTTCCTTCTGGCTGGGGGTTTTTTAGTCTGCAACTTTTCAACCCTCAATGAGAGTTGAATTCGTATTTGTTTACTTCTTTTTTTTTTTTTTTTTTTCTATCCCCCACCCCTGTGTTTTGAGATGTGCTCATGTAATTCAGGCTTGCCTTGAACTTGCTTTGTGGCCAAGGTTGGCCTAGATCTGATCTTGCTTCCACCCCCCAAGCGCTGGGACTGCAGGTGTGGGCCACACGCCCAAGTTAAAAGCAATGGTCTTTTGAAATTAGCAGTTCTCAATCCTAACTCATATTAAATTAAAAAAGCAAAGGGATTCCTTACCTGATTGAAAAGAAAATAATGACTAGAATGAATAGGACTGGGGAGGGATGAGACAGAGTCTCATGGAGCCCTAGCTAACTTAGGGCTTCTGTATAGAGCAGGCCAGCCTTGAACTCAGAGATTCTCCTGCCTCTGCCTCCCGAATTCTGGGATTAAAGACATGTACCACCACACCTGGCCTGACGTCATTAAATAAATGTTCCTCAGTGCTATTCTAGGTAGGGGCAGAGGCAGGAGAGAAGGAGAAAAATGGATTTTGCTGTAGCTCAGTGCTGTATTTTGGTTTCCTCAGGATATGAACTATGGGGTTTTGAATCTGTTTCCTTGGAAACTCGTCCATTTAAACTGTCCAAAAATGGCACAGTGGTGTCACTTGCAGGTAATTCCCCTTCCATCTTCCTCTGCTGTGTGACTCCTGGGAAAGATCTACCATGGTTCAATGTGACGAGGTGGTGAGGACATGGCTATTTGCATTCATTTTAACGAAGTTTGTGCTACTGCTGGGCAGGGTGCCACAGGCCTGTGAATTTCAGCACAGCTAAGGCAGGCTGATCTTTGAATTTGAGCCAGCCTGGGCTGCCACATAGTTCCAGGCCAGTCAGGGTTATGTACCGAAATTCTGTCTCAAAACAAACTGCTAGGGCAGGTATGCAGGCTCTCATTTAATATTCACAGAAACACTGCAAATTGGGAGTCTTAGGAGGTACAGTAATGACGCCTCAAAAAAGTCTGTTTCTGATCACCAGAACCTGTGACTGTCACGGTATACATAACATGGGATTAAGGATCCTGGTGATGGGGAGGTTGTCCTGTGCAGTCTGATGGACCATCTGTCACTTAGTTTTTCAAAGTGTACACAGACTCCCTGGAAGCCCCCAGTGAAGCCAGGCCCACAATTTAACAGCTATGATAATGTATGGCTTCAAGCCATTGTTCGGTTTAAAGCAATGGTGAAAAACAAAAGCCTGTTATTCTATTTTATAATGAAGAAACCTGTTGAGAGGGACCACACACTTTGCAGTTAGATCTGGGAAAAATCCAGGTTGATACACCCAGATGCAGTGTCTAGCCAATTCCTCCCTTCCTTGGGAATAAGCATGGTAAAACCTGATGCGATCAAGCGTTCTGTGGGTCCCGCGGCCCCTTTAAGAGTACAGGGGGCGGGACTTGTGGCAGTTGCTTGGAGACCACCTAGTTCCCAGGACGCTACCTCCTTGCTACCACTTTTGGATCTGCTGGCCTGGCCAGAGCAAGTGGGTGAGCACCCTGAGATAATCCTACGTGCGCAGCAACAACTTAAAAGTCAGTTCCTTCCTTAGCTTCCCAAGACCAGAACACGTGCTTGACTGAGGAGGGGATCCTGCGGCGGGGTGGAGTGGAAAATAGGCGGGCTTGCAGGTTACTTAGGTGCGACCTCCTAAGAACGGGGTGGGGGTCATCACTGTAAGAAACGTTTCTTTGCTGACAGCCCTTGGGCGAGCTGCGGGATGGTGTGTTGGAGAAAGAACCTCTGAGGTGGGATTGAGCGTGCCTAGCAGAGGCAGGCGTGGAGTGCCACTTGATCCATCCCCAGGGGGCACAGACCTGAACCAGATTTCTTTGTACCCCAGTAATTTCTTTGTCTTGTTTACCTAATGTAGTAGGACACCATCAGTGAGATCAGTTTCAGAGTGGTATGAAAACCATGGCTTTGGAACACTTTTTGTTATTATTATTTTTTTACTTTATGTGCATTGGCGCTTTGCCGGCATAAATGTCTGCGTGAGGGTAGCAGATTTTGGAGTTATAAACACTGGTGGTCTGCCATGTGGATGCTGGGAATTGAACCTGGGTCATCTGGAAGTCTGTGCTCTTAACCGCCGAGCAGTCTCTCCAGGCCCCTGGCTTTGGAACTCTGCCTTCAGCTCTGCAACCACCCTTTCTCTTCTGTCTCGTAAGCTGACGAGAGCCGATTAGTCATCAAATTCTACAACAAGGCTGCACTCGACCCCTTTTTGCCCAGGAAATTTTTGCATGACCCTGGCTTTAGTATATAAAATAGGTATGCACAACAAATATTTACTGATATAAATAATAATTATATTTATCTATTAGGATACATAAAATTACCATTTATTAAATAAAACAAACTAATGATATTATGTGCTTTTTTATTTTTTAAGATGTACTTTTCATTTTTATCTATGTGTATTTATATTTAGCCATGGGTACCCATGGAAGCCAGAAGAGAGTGTTGGATCCCTAGAGCTGGTTATAAGTGGCTGTGAGCCATCAAACATAAATGCTGGAAAATGAACTTGGACCCTCTGCAAGAACAGCAAGTGCTGTTAATGCTGGACCCCAAAGATGAACTTTTTTCCGTTTTATTTGTTCAGTGGGGTGAGAGTTGACTAGTATGAGACCTGGACATACGGAGGTCAGAGGACAGCTTGTAGAAGGTTCTGTTCTTTCACCATGTGGACTCCAAGAATTGAACTCAGGTCTTCAGGCTTGAGGGCAAGTGCCTTAACCTAAGTCATCCTATTAGCCTGGTTGTTTATACTTAAAAATTAATTCTTGGGGCTTTAGAGATGGCTCAGCTATTAAGAGGACCTGCTACTTAATCGTGCTGATGCTCAGGCACAAACAATTAATTAAAAAATTTTAAGGCTTTCAGTGGTGGTGCACACCTTTAATCCCAGAATTTGAGAGGCAGAGAGGCAGGTGGATCTCTGAGTTCAAGGCCAGCCTGGTCTGCAGACCAAGTTCCAGGACAGCCAGGGCTACACAGAGAAACCATGACTTGAAAAAAACAAAAAATTTAGATCACACATTCTAATAAAATCCATACAAAGCTATCCACAGTGAGGAAGGGCAGTAGAAAAATAATTGCCTTAGTATTCTGTGATTGAATCAGATTTCTATAAAAGCAGGGCACTCTACAGTAAAAACCCTGCAAGTTGTATAATGTAATAGTCTTAAATCTGAGCTGAGGTTTTCAGGCAGCATTCATTGGCATCACATGGCCTACAGAGCACAAAGTGCACATGATGAGTGTTAAGAATCAAGATGGAGTTGGAGCAAAGGCTCAGTGGTTAAGAGTGCATATTGCTTTTCCAGAGGACCGGATTTCAGTTCCCAACACCCGTGTCAAATGCCTCACAGTCACTCCTAACTTGAGATTCACTGGATCCTACCCCTCTTCTGGGACCTCTGAGAGCACCCACACTCACATACACATACCCACACACACACACACACACACATATACATATAATTTTAAAACAAAGACCTTAAAAAGACAAAGAACCCAGAGACTGAGGTTGTCTGATGCACCCCAGGAGGGTTCGGCTAGAAACGTATTGGATTCATTATGTGTTGGATTTTTAATCAATTTTGGTTGTACATTTAGAAACCTTTTCCTGTTAGGTGTTCATGACCCCTCTGTTCATGTATGTAACCCCATATGAGATCTTGAGCCACAGTTTAAGTTGGGCTCTGAGGAGATGTTCAAGTATGAGGACGTGAGTTCAATCCCACTATCTGCAAACCCCAGTTCAAAGGGATCTGATGCCTCCTCTGGCCTCCCTAGGCACTGCATGCATGTGTTATGCAGACAAACATGCAGACAAAATACCCACAAGCAAAATAAAAACGGAAGTAATAAAATGTTCAAACATGTTTTTAGTGCCGTCACCATGGCGTGCTTAGGCCTAGTGCTTGAGAAGTAGTCTCGGGAGGATCCCTGAGGCTCTCCGGCTGGCCTACTAGCTTTACCATTGCTGACCTAGAGGTCAGCAAGAAGCCCCGTCTCAGGAAAGTAAGAGGGAACTGGATGAAGGAAAACACCTAATGCTGAACTCAGGCCTCCACATGCACCGACCCTCACATCCAAACACATACACACTCCACGAACAACAAGGAGCTATTGCTGTAAAGGCTCTGGAGGCTAGGCAGCCAATGATAAACATCAAATGGCAATCATTCTGTGTAGCAGTTGTCCTGAATTGTATCCTTTGGGGATTTTTCTGTATCATTACCATCGTGTCATGACACAAGGTACCACTATTTCTATTTGATAGCTAAGGCAGAGGAAGTTTGCTTAAGGGTAAAATGCTGCTAATATGACACAGTAGCCTTTATGTTTTTATGGACTTACTGCTGCTTTAATTTGTAGTACACTTGTGAAGGTCAGAGGACAACTTGCAGGAGCCAGTTCTCTCCTTCCACCGTGCAGCTTCAACAGATCGAGCCCAGGTTGTCAGGCTTGTGGCAGGCACCTTTGCCAGAAGAGTCACGTTACCCACCCCAACCTCAGTTTTTGTAAACAAGGTCTGTCACTGAACCTAGAGCTCGCTGATTGAACTAAACTGTGAAGGAGCTGTAGGAGCTGTCTCCACCCCTCCACCCCACTGCTGGATTACAGGCGCATGTGATGGCATAAGCCTCTTACATGGGTTGTGGGGATCTGAACTCAGGTCTTCATGCGTTTGAGGCAAGTGCTTTACCCCCTAAGGATTACCATTCCTAACTATAGTGCTGTTTGAAAACACATACTATTACATGGGCTGGCAAAATGGCTCAATGGGTAAAGGTGCTTGCTGAGTTTGAGCCCCAGGTTGGACGCTCTGAAAGCAGGGAACCACCCCGGAAATTGTCCTTTAACCTCCACACACGGGCGAAGGTACACATGTACCCCGACACACCCATATGCACAAAATTAATAGATAAATAAATGCAATAAAAATATAAATGAAATAATGTTTCATAATGGTTCTAATATTAAGCATTTTGAAACAATATGTGCAGTATTGAAATTAAATTATATTTGCATAACTGATGATTCTTGTTGTTATTGAGGATTCAGTAGAATGATAATGGTGTTTTTTTCCTAAGGCTAGTTTTTTTTGTTTTGTTTTGTCTTACAATTAAAACAACCAAGTATTTAGAGACATAATTTTTATTTTTCAGTTAAAACCTGAAACAAAACTGCAGCCTACCAAAGTAATCATTGGCTAATTGTGCATCTAAAGAAAAGTACTTCTTCCAAAGGCCATGGTGAAGGAAAAGAAAAAAGCAGACAGAAAAGGAGATAAGTCAGTCTGCTCCCCCTCCTCTATCTCTGAGTACCCAGAAGCTTCTAAACATGATGGGAATGCCAGTAAGCAGGACGCATCCAGTACCACCGTCCCACCGGTGGAAACGACAACCAAGCAACCAGCACCCAAAAAAGAACCCACAAATGTATATCAGTCTGAAGATGAGACCCAGTATGAAGAGCCCATCCTGACAAAACTCATAGTAGAAAGGTGACTGACCTTCCCGGCAGGAAAGTGGGAGTGGGGGAGTGGGAGTGGGGGATGACAAGGCTAAACTCTCTGTAAGCCAAAAACTACGTGAAAGTGTGTTTTGATGGGAGCTTATGAATCCTACACAGCTTTTTAGGATTTGATTGTTTGGTTTTGGTTTTTGTTTATTTGGTTGGTTGGTTTTGTTTTGGTTTTGGTTTTGTTTTTCGAGACAGGGCTTCTCTGTGTAGCCCTGGCTGTTCTGGAACTTTCTCTGTAGACCAGGCTGGCCTCAAACTCAGAGGTGTGCCTGCCTTCGCCTCCTGAGTGCTGGGATTAAAGGCGTGAGCCACCACTGCCCAGCTGGTGCTGTTTTATGATTCTGCAGTTCCCCACCCCCAAAAGCACTTTTGTCTGCGGGGCTGGAACGCACTGGTTTGGTTAGAAGCGCTGTCCAGCACACTCCAGGGATCTTCTTGTCTCCCCAGCACTGGAATGCTGGAATGGAAAGTCCACCTCAATACCTACCTTTTCCTTCCTTTAGCCATCTTTTCATGTAGGTATCGGACTGCAAGTTCGGCCCCCCACACTTTCATGGTGTGCATTTTACTGGCCACCGTGCGCTGCTGCCCCCAACTTGTAAGTGGGTGCTGGGGACCTGAACTCAGATCTTCATGTGTGTAAGGCGGGCCATCTGTCAAGTGAGCCATTTTCTCAGCCACCCCCACCCCTCACCCCCCAAAAAGAACTTTTTGAAGAGATTGATTTATTTTTCTTTTATGTGTATGAGTGTTTACCTGCATATATGTCTGTGACCAGATGTGTGTCTGGTGCCCATAGAAGCCAGAAGAGGGCAAGAGACCCCCTAGAACTGGAATTACAGGTGTTTGTCAGCTACTCTGTGGGGTGTAGGAATCAAACCCAGGTCCTCTGAAAGAGCAACAAGTGCCCTTAACCATTGGACCATTGCTCCAGCCCCTTGAAAATATGTTTCTCACAGTAAAATATATAAGATTTGCTCTTCTGAGCAGCTGAAATGTTTAATTCAGGGACTGGTGAGATGTTTCAGTGATTAAATCAGTAGCCAGACAAACATCAGGGCCAAAGTTCGGACGCCCAGAAACAAAGGTGAATACCAGGTGAACATGTGACCTACCAATGCGTAAGCCCAGCTTTGGAAGGCTGACACAAGGAATTACCAGAGCAAACTGGCTAGAGAGACTAGTCATGCTGGCAAGCTCTGGGTTTGATTGACAGAACCTGCCCAAATGGGTGAGGTGGAAGAGAAATCAAGGATAATCCAGATCACTTGCATATGCACAAGCACACACATACACATACAGAGAGAGAGAGAGAGAGAGAGAGAGGTGAAAATAAAATAAAATGTACAGTTCAGGGTATTAAATACATTCACAGTGTTTTTCATGTATCACTGAGTTCTGTTTCCAGAATATGTCCTGTCCCTATTCCCGGACAGAAATTCTGTCCCTATTAAAGCCACGCAACCACATCAAGAAGCGCGTATTACTAATAGCCTATCTACTTTAATCCACAGTCATGTCCACATCACTCATGAGTTTGAACTCTGTTTCTTTGTAGCTATGAAGGGGAGAAAGTCCGTGGACTGTATGAAGGAGAAGGCTTTGCTGTCTTTCAAGGTGGAAATACCTACCATGTAAGCGGTAATTAGTGGTAATTAAGGGGTGGGCTGAAAGTCTTAGATTTGCAAAGGCTTGAGTGAATTCCACTAAAACCATCAGAAGTCCTGCACCCTGATTTTATCCTGAACCCCAGCTATCTAAATGTGACTCAGTATAACTGAAGCTCTTGTGTGCACACACACACACTGTAAATATAATTATTGAAAATAATAGAACCTGTGCACATCCTCCCGCCCACTTTGTGGCCGTGTGTTTTCTTGTGGTACTGAGGATGGAACCCAGAGCCCTGAGTGTGCGCTCCAACTTCTCCACCACCCATCTGCACCCTACTGCCTTTGCATATTCACTGTCAGAGCTGACAAGACTGAATTTCATGCAAATGCTATGCAAAGAGCTGTTAGAGTGTCCCTCTCAGGGAGAGCCGGTCCTTAAAAAAAAGGGCATGTCTAGTACAAAGGCAACTGACTTAGTCCTACCCCATAAGTAAATGTCAGTAACAGTCTAACTTCTTTCCCCCAAGTACCTTTTGTCTGTGTTTGATTCTATCTACAGATTTAACACACAAGCTGCTCTAGTTCGTTTTAGTTGTCAGCTTGACAAAGCCTAGAGTCACCTGAGAAGGGAGTCTCATTTGGAAGATTGCTCACGTCAATGTGGCCTATAGGCATGTATGTGGGGGAGGGGGATTGTGTTCATTGATTGGCATAGGAGGGTCCAGGCCACTGTAGGTGGTTCTGGGCTGTATAAAACAACTAGATAAGTAAAAGACAGCAAGCAGCAGTCCTTCATGGTTTCTGCTTTGAGTTCCTGCTTGAGTCACTGCCTTGACTTCTTGGTGATGGACTGTGAGCTGGAAGCATAAGGCAAATCAGCGCTTTCTCTCTAAGTTGCTTTTGGTCAGACTGCTTTTTCACAGCAACAGAGATGAAGCTCATGTCAACTGCAGTGAGCAGAGTCTTAGGGCTGGGGGTGTGGCACAGTGGTAGAGCACTTGCCTAACGTGCAAAACCCTGGATCTGTCCCTGGCATTGTGAAAAATAAAAACAAAAGAACCAAAAAGAGCAAAATCTCAGTTTCACTGTTATTTTGCTATAAACGTACCCAGTTATCATTGTTTCTTTCATTCTTTGAGTAGCTATATCAATTTTTACATATTAGTCACATAACAATAGATTGCAGGTTGAATTGTTTTCACTTGTATATTTTTATGTATTACTATATGGTTTACATCATTGTAGTAGCCACACCAAACTACAAGGTGAATTTTTTTAAAACGTTTGGTGGATTGTCTCATATACACAACATTTGTTATTTTACCCTTGCTAAGGGGATGGGCCAGTGGCCTTGACTAGACCCACATTGTCCAGCCATCACCCCTGACAGCCCAGAACTTTCTGATCATCCCAAATGGAACCTTGGCACCCATGAAGTGATAGCCATCCCTGGCTTACCTGACAGTAAATTTGATACTATATGATTTGATACTGTCAAAATTACTAAATGCAAGTGTTCCATAACTGTTGGATTTTTAGGGTCCTTTCAATTTTGCCTCTACTTGTAGGACACAATCAAGATATTCATTCATTCGGATTATATAAAACATGTGCTTACTATAGTAGGCTAATTTTTAAAGATTTTTAAATCTTATGTATATGTCTGTGTTTCATGTGTGGTCAAATGGCCATGGAGGCCACAAGGGGGCGTAGGCTCCCCTTGAGCCAAAACTGTACACATGCACACACACCCCTATACATGTATGTAACTCCTGGTACACAGTCAAATGTGCAGGCACACATTTGTGTTTCTCTCAGGGCACATGCACACTGATAATCTCCAGTAAGAGAAAGCAAAGTATGAAACTTACATATGTCATGTGTCTGATAGCCGGATAGTAGTTTTCATCGGATCTGCCTAGTGTAAGTAATCTGTTTTAAAAAGGAGGGAGGTTTGTTGTTATTTGGCTTTGTTTGATTTTGCAAGGTAGAAAATAGAACTTAGGGCCTTGCACGTGCTAGCCAGGCGTCCTGCCACTGAGCTTCACCCTTAGCCCCAAATCCTGAAAGGCCAAAGTGCAAAATCAAAAGTATTCTAGTTCTTCTGGACTACAGTTCAGAGATTTCCTGGTGGCTTACTTAGGGGGTTATGACTCTGCTCATCAGAGCTAAGTCTTGAGGACAATTTCAACTCCTCTTGGATGGTCTTTGGCTCAGGGTAGGCCACTGGTGCGGGCTCAGCGTGGGCACCACGTTGCTGCTGCTGCTGCTGCTGCCAGGCAGCCAGCATATTCCTGCGTGCAGAGGGGTGAACACGGTTCCAGTCTCTGACCGAGCCAGTCTGCAGATGCCCAGCACCCACAGCTTCCATCTAAGCACTGTTATTTTTTTCACAGGGCATGTTTTCAGAAGGACTGATGCATGGACAAGGGACTTACATTTGGGCTGACGGGTTGAAATATGAGGTAAAGCATGATCATGATCTAGAGTTGTGGACTATTAATGATAGAATTTAATAGTCAACTTCCTGCACTATTTTTGTAAAGTGTGTATGCCTGTGTGGTGTGTGTGTGTGTGTGTGTGTGTATGCATGTTGCCATATCCAATGAGTTCAGGTACTCTTAGAGGCCAGAAGAAGGCTCCGGAGGTGGAGCTGGAGTCACATGCAGTCGGGAGCTTCTGACGAGAATGCTGGAAACTGCGCTCAGGCCCTCTGCAAGAGCACCGCATGCTCTTAACTGTTGAACCATCTCTCCAGCCCTCTAGTTATACTATTTTATAAAAGTAAGTCAGGCTAGGCATGGAGGCACACACCTTCAATTCCCACATTTTAGAGGCAAAAGTAGGTGCATCTCTGAGTTGGAGGCCAGCCTGGTCTACATAGTGAGTTCCAGGACAGCCAGGGCTACCCAGTGAGACCCTGTCACAACAAAGAAATTAAAAAAAAAAGTTAGCATAGCCAGATCTGGAATCATGGAATCCCAGCACTTGAGAAGCTGATGCAGGAGAATTTTTAGTTCCAGGCCACCCTGGATCTACACAGTAAGATCCTATTTCAGAAAAAAAAAAAAAAAAAAAAAAAAAAAAACTGAAAAGATAAGTGTAAGCTCAGAACCAGAACTCCAGAGAACAGAGGCTGCAAAGACTATGTGCTCAGCATGGTAATGTGGTGACTGTGTGAGGTGCCTGGGACTCACTTCAGCTGCTTTCATTTGTCGCATTAGAGGCTTCCTGTGTGTGTGCATGTGCATGGATGGAGTTTGGTGTGGTAATCTATATGTTCTCTGCATGGGTCATACACAGATGTATGTTTAATCCCCATGCTTTGCATAGACATAGTTTATGTAATTTCTCTTATTCCTTTATGTTTTAGTAATTAAGCCATACCCATCCCTGAAGAGCTAACTATTTTTACTGACTGCAAGTATTCCATTATGGATGTTTCAGAAAAACCATCTGGGTTGCTAGGCTGAGGGGAAGTGGGCATTTTTAAACTAATTGTGAGAACTGAGAACAGATTTGCCCTCCAAGAAACTGTGCCAGTTTCAGCTCCCACGCACAAAGCCTGTGAGTGCCTAAAGCAGGGTTCCAGAAATCCCCACTGCAGAGTAACTAATGCCACAGTACTCATAAATGGTTAGAGACATTGAAGGCAACTGCATATGTATTCAGATGGCAGCTGGGCAGCAGACACGAGCTGCAGAGCTCCAAGGAGAACAAGGGAGGGTTGATCCTCCACCTAGGGAAGCCTGGGGATCCAGCTAGAATAGTGTGTTAGGGCCAGGCTTTCTGAGAGAACTCCCTTTCCATGCAGCACCCCATCTTTAACCTGCCACCAGCATTCAAGGTTTCTGGTCCCTGAGGGTGACTTTGTCAGGCAGGTCCTTCTGCTTCGCTGTCTCTGGTGTTGGGGGGTCCTCCTTTGCAAGCGCAGAGCCCGCCACAGTCAGCCCATCGGAGGGGGTTCGTGGGTGGGATTTTGTATCTTGAAGCATTCTCAGGCTTGTTGAGCCAGGGAGACCCAATATGCTGTCTGGCCAGTGGCAAGAGTCAGAGGTTGTGTCCTCTGCTCACTGATGATTATCTAGTGAATTTGAAATCTTGGGAGTGTGGCAGAGCATCCGCTTAGCACATGGGGAGCCCTGGGTTCACTCCCCAGTGCCACCGCCACCATTACCAACAGAACCACTCTGGAAGGGAATCTAACATGGTTAGGCCATGGCTCCCATCACCATGAGCTGCTCACAACAAAGGTGCCCTCAGCCAGGACACGGTGAGCTCTTCAGAAGGTGCCCGTGAGGTGGGCCATTGACATACACATCTGAGGAATGCTTTGATGAACCATGGGGGGTCAGTACGTGGCTGATCATCCAGACCTCTCCAAGGCAGACCCTGACAGTCTAAAATGTAGATCAGGATGGGCAGCCACCGCATTACCAGGTCACCTGCTTGCTTCTTGGTGCTACGTGTAAATGCAGCCTTCCCAGTATTTTATTCCGCCTGGGCTTCCATGCACTGGAAGAACGAGGTGAGAGAGGGGATGGAAATGACAGAGAAGAGGATGTGAGAGGCATATCCACCTCTTCCGAACTGCCAGAGGCAGCATGGGTAGAAGACCCTCAAACAGCCTCCGGGCGCGGAGTCCCTCCAGTGCCTTCTCCTGTCACACTGGCGGTTGTTTTGCCTTAGGGAGACTTTGTGAAGAACACTCCCATGAACCACGGCGTGTACACATGGCCAGATGGCAGCACATATGAAGGAGAAGTGGTCAACGGCATGAGGAACGGGTTTGGTATGTTTAAGTGTGGCACACATCCCATGTCCTACATCGGCCACTGGTGCCACGGCAAGAGACATGGAAAGGTAGGTGAGGCCCATGAGAGGATTCCATCCATGTGAATGTAATCATGATATAAAACCCACCATTCACAGTGCTGTGCAACCATTATCACTGTCGAGGCTCACAAACGTTGTCGGTAACACAAAATAAAACAAATGTGCGCAACCCCTCATCCCTCCAGCCCCATATTCCCAGCAGTCATCCATCTTCTTACTGTGGGGATGGACTGGATTTACTTCTTAGCCATTGGGTCAGTCATATTTTTTTGTCCCTGCGACAAAAACCCTTGCCAGGCATGGTGGCACACACCATTAACCTCAGCATTTGTGAAGCAGAAGCAAGTGAACCTCTGTGAGTTTGAGGCCAGCCTGATCTACACAGAGAGTTCCAGGCCAACCAAGGGTCATAATGAGACCTTGTCTCAAAACAAAACAAAGCAAAGCAAACCCACCACCACTACCAACATTTCTTGATAGAAACAGCTTAGTAAAGAAAAGATTGATTTGGCTCACAGTTTCGGAGGATTCAGTCCATGGACATTGGTGCTATTTCTGGGCCTACCATGAAGCAAAATATGATGGTGGCGGAAGCATATAGCGGCTGCTGCCTCTTGGCAGACAGGAAGGGGAGAGATGGGGCCAGAATGAGACAAAGCCCTCAGGAATGTATCCCTCAGTCACCTACTTTCTCCCGCTAGGTCCTAATCTTCTAAAGTTTCCAGAACCTTCTAAAATAACACCAGCAGCTGGAAACGAAGTGGTCAGTGCATGAACTTGTCAGGAACATTTTATATCCAAACTATAACAGACATCCTAATGGGATCAGATAATATGTGAGCTTTTGTGCCTAGCTGCTTTATGAAGCATATTTTCAAGATTTATCTAAGGTGTGACGTGATGGCGCTTCACCATTTTTAAGGCTGAGTAATATTTCACTGTAAGTATATACTATAATTTATCTATTTAGCTGTTGATGGACATGAGATTTTTTTTTTAATTTTCTTATTACACTTAATTATTTGTGTGTGTGCTAGTGTGCACACACGAATATTCCATGGTGTGCATGTGGAGGTCAGAAGACAATTTGTAGAAGTTGGTTCTCTCTGCCATGTGGGTCTCAGGTCACAGGATTAGAAGTCAAATACCTTTACCCTGATGAGTCACCTTTGTTTTGAGGCAGGCTCTTACTCTGAAGTCCAAACTTCCCAGGAACTTACTATGTAGCCCAGGTTGGGCTCCAACTTGGGATGATCTTTCTGCCTCACTGCCCAAGTGTGGGGATCCTAAGGATGAGCCCCAATCCTAACTTAACTCAGGACTTCTTTATCTGTTCCATGCCTTCCAAGGACACGCTATTATTAAGGCGTGTGCTGGTGTGAATAGAAAATGTTTCTAATAGGCTCATCTGTGAGGAACTTGGCCTCTAGCTGATGGTCCTATTTAGGAGTCTCTGGAAAACAGGCGTGATCAACCTGTGACCTATGGGCCCTGGGCCGCTCAGGGTACCGTGAATCAGGCCCAACTGATAGGTAACAACAGCAAGTCTCAGTGTCAGATGGATGACCCTGACAGGAAGTGAGGCCCAGCTGCTGGAAGTAGACACTGGGAGCTGTGGCTTGTCCCTAGTTTCTTCCCACCCTCTGTGCTCTCTAGCCATCACAGGTGGGCAGCCTCTGCCATCTGACCCACTGCCATGGTGGTCTGCCTCAACACTGGCCCAGAACTAACAGAACCGAAGTCTCTGAAATCACAAACCAAAGTAAACGTGCCTCCATTAAGTTGTTTCTGTGAGGTATTTCTCCCCTACAAACAAGAAGTCTGACTCACAAGGGAATGACTGGCCTGTGACATGGGTGTACATAGCTCACCGTTTCCTTTGTGTGTTTGTGCGCATTTCCATGCTGTGCCACAGTGTACCACCTGGGCTGTGTGCCTTCATCTCTCACCTCATTGGAAACATCTCTTGTTACTCACTGCTGTGTATTGTAAAAGTATTGAATGGGCTTTTCTATGTCCACTCGAGCTCCCAAATAATAACACAGAGGCCTACTGTAGTTATAATAAGCTTCAAGCACTATAGCCGGGCAGATGCTCATCTGTTCTCACCCAACTATGTTGACCTGACCGACTTCCCAGGCACACATCCTGTTACCTGTCATCTTAATCTTGCCCTGGCTGCTCCTGCTCCATCTGTGTCCATGCGGACTCCTTCATGGCAACTTCTCTCTCTCTCTCTCTCTCTCTCTCTCTCTCTCTCTCTCTCTCTCTCCCCCCCAGCACACTAGCTGATCCTTGTGCCCCCGAGGTTGTCCTGTCTCCATCTCCCATTTTCTAATAGGAGTGCTGCGATGACAATGCTTCCACTGTGTGTTGTGTCCAGCTTTTCATGTGGATCTGGTATCTGAACTCAAGTCCTCATGCTTGCATAGGAAGCACTTTTACTCACTGAGACCTTTACCCAACCCACTTTTCTCTGTCTGAAAAACCAAAGCATCATCGGTTATGTGTCTTGCCAGTTACAACATGGGCTTCTTCATAGTTTATGCTTCTTAGGTTTGCGTATTCTGATTTCTATGTTTCAAAGAGGATTTGCCTCGTGAGTCTTGATTTCTCTTTATACTGTTTGTTTTAGGGCTCCATCTATTACAATCAAGAGGGAACCTCTTGGTATGAGGGAGACTGGGTATACAACATCAAAAAGGGCTGGGGAATAAGATGGTAGGTGCGACCCTTCCTCCACATTGGGGCGTGGGTGGGAAAGCTTCCAGGGGCTCACTTGGTTCTTGGGCTCACTTGAACCCAGGGTAAAGACAAGGTGCAGACATAACAGAAAATGCATCTTCTGTCCAAGTATGGCACAGTTTTCAGTTGCTCCTGACAGAGTCCCCACAGTAATGAAAACATTCTATGGACATTTAGAAGAACACACTCAGTGTTTGATTGTATGTTCCACTTTATTCCAAGTAGACTCCGCCTTCCTTTGTCCTCTGTCTTCATCATAGATTCATCGCTGGATGTTTTCTGCGGAACAGCAATATTTTTGCTTGATTTTAGATTGAGCTGATAGTAATTTGTTGTTATTATTTTAGTTCTGGCAGTTCTAGGGACTGAACCTAGCACATGTGAGGGGCCTGGCACATGCGAGGCAAACACCCCACCCCTGGGCTGCAGCCCCAGCCCCGCCCCATATTACACTTCACATACAGGGTCTTGCTATTAACCCAGGCTGACCTTGAACTCCTTTCTCTACCTCCCAAGTTCTGGCATTACAAACCTGTACCTTCACACCCAGCAGGGATCTATAGGATGGATTTATTTTTACACTTATATATGAGTGCACATAGATATTGGTGCCTGTGAAGCCAGAAGAAAGTGTCAGGTCCCCTCAAGCTGGAGTTATAGGTGGTTGTGAGCTGCCCAACGTGGATGTTAGGAAATGAACTCTGGTCCTGTGGGAGAGCAGCAAGTGCTCTTAACCGCTGGACTAGAGAGGCGGATCAGAATGTAATGGTCCTGCCAGGGAGGCGGGGCAGGGGTGCTGAAGTCAAATCCCCAGCACCCATGTAAAAAGCTGGGTATAGCAGCATCTGCCTGTAGCCTCAGCACAGGGGAGCAGAAACAGGAGGATCCCTACCAGATTTGATGAGTTTCAGGTTCAGGGAGAGACCATGTCTCAAAAATAAAGATGAAGAACAACAAAGGAAGCACATCCAGCACCCACATGCACACATGCACATACATGCCCAACAATATATAGTATTTGGTGGCCAAATATTAAGTAATCATAGCACAATAGGACTTGTTTCAAGAAGATGTAAAACTTCACTTTTGCCCGTTTGTTGAATAATGAAAAAGTTTAATAAAGGGAATTATTATACCTCTTAATATAAATATTTTTGCCAGTCATGAGATACCCACTGAGTCTCAATACTGGGAACAGCATCCTTGGTCCTGGGTTGGATTTCCTTTTCCTGAGAGGCATTCAAGGGGTGATTTTAAGGGCTTTAAAGGCAAATGTTGTCCATATGATCTAACTAATTGTTCATCATTGGTTCCTTTGGTACCAGCTACAAGTCAGGAAACATGTATGAAGGCCAGTGGGAAAACAACATGCGCCACGGGGAAGGCAGAATGAGATGGCTGACAATAAATGAGGAGTATACTGGCCACTGGGAGAAGGGGATCCAGGTAGGGCCTGTCCAGCTGCGGGTCACAGCCTGAGGTGGGTGAGGTGCTAACTGCCTGCTTGTGACAGTCAGTGTTAGCTGACAGCTCACAGGATCTAGAATCGCCTGTGAGATGGGCCTCTAGGGCAGCCTGGGATACTTTTTATTTTGATTACTGTTGTTAGGCTGGAGCACCCATCCTAATTGTGAAAGGGAGCACTCCCTGGGCAAGGGATTCTGCTCTGCAGTAAGTGGAGAAAGCTGGCCAGGTTTGCATCTGCTGCCTCGGCCTCTGACTGTGGCTGCAGCGTGACCAGCTGTCTCGAGCTCCTGCCACTGCGGCTTTCCTGTACCACAAACTGAGCAGCAGCCCTTCCTCTCTAAGTTGCTTTTGTCAGAGTATTTTATCACAGCAACAGAAGAAAAACCAGCACAAAACTCAGTTACAATCTGCTAGTCTCAGCCACACTTTTTAACTGATGTTTTATTACTTAGTCTTCTGTAATGGTCTCACACCACTTTTTTAAAATTTCTTTATTTTTATTTTATGCGCATTGGTGTAAGGGTATCAGATCCCTTGAAACAGAAGTTACAGACAGTTGTGAAGCTGCCGTGTATGTGCCAGGAATTGAGCCCGGGTCCTTTGGAAGAGCAGACAGTGCTTTTAACCACTGAGCCACCTCTCTTCACACAGCTTTCATCTAACCTACAAGATAGGTGCTGTTTCCATCATATACTTGAAGAACCTGAAGGGCTCAAATCGTTTGCTATAGATCAAAAGACATTTAGTGATTGGCTGAGCTGAGGCTGAACTCAATCCCTGCTTCTCAGTTCATGGGCTCTGCCCCTTCAAATTATCAGTGTCTTTGTCATAATTTGAGTTCAAGTAAAAAGGGGTTTGTACTGACAAGGTCCTTTCTTTTCAGAATGGCTTTGGAACACACACATGGTTTCTAAAGAGAATCCCCAACTCTCAGTATCCTTTGAGGAATGAATACATAGGAGCATTTGTTAATGGCTTTCGTCATGGACACGGGAAATTTTACTATGCCAGTGGAGCAATGTATGAGGGAGAATGGGTTTGCAACAAAAAGCATGGCATGGTGAGTACAGCTGTTGAAATACCGTGAAAGATGCAGATCTGGTAAGGGGCATTATTCACTTTGTAAAGATAACTATTTTACTTAAGGTGATTATGTGCATTTACAGCTATTTACAACATATTATCTGTTTCTTGGATGTTTAGAAATTATTTAATCAGTTTGTGTTATATGTGTATACAAATAAATGAGGGTGCTGGTTGCAAGTTATAGCCTAGTTTAAGCTTTCACATATGATAGCAATGTGGGCTTTGGGGCTGGCTTCTGATACTAACTCAGTGATTTCAGCATTTCTTTCCTGTCCGCCCACACGACAGCTTTACCCTTGCATTGCCACTTTCCTGTGATTACAAGATAGCTGCTGTGATTTCAGGCTTCACACTACACAGCCCACTCAGCAGAGGTGCGGTGGCGCACTCCTTTAATGCCAGCATGGGGAGGCAGAGACAGGCAGATCACTGTGGGTTCAAGGCCAGCCTGGTCTACAAAGTGAGTCCAGGACAGCCAGAGCTCTTATTACACAGAGAAACCCTGTCGTAAGAGAGAGAAACTCATTTCTCAGAGCTCTGTACAAATAACTCTATTTCACAGAGCTGAACTGGGTCATTTGTCCACCTCAGGTACAGGGAAGTACCTATTGGGCTATGCCCTCTGATGGCCATTCACAAGGTTTAATAAAGTTCATTCTGTGGCCTAGAGGTGATTAAACTTGGGGAAAGGTTGGAGAAGGAAAAAGAGAATGGGCATCATGATGGGAAAGCCAATGGAGGACAATTCTTTGTGGTCTAAGTACACATCATCGGAAACAAGCTCCAAACCTTGAAAACCCTACTGATGGACAACGAATAGTATTCTTCCTGAGCACTTTTCCTAAACCGCCCAACACTGTGTTCCTACTGACAGGGCAGAGTAACCTTCAAGAATGGACGTGTGTATGAAGGCATGTTTTCCAATGACCACATTGCAGAGTACTTTGAAGCTGAACCTGACTTCATACACAGCCTGGACAGTTGGTCAGATATCTCCCAAAGGAGCCAGCAGATGCAGGAATCTTCTATCAGTGCTGGTAGAGAGCCTGGTAGGTGAAAATAAAATAATATCTTTGCTTGTTTGTTTTTCAAGAGAACAGGGTTTCTCTGGCTGTCCTGCACTCGCTTTATAGACCAGGCTGGCCTTGAACTCACAGAGATCCGCCTGCTTACAGGCATATCTTCCCAGAGTAAATTAATATCTTATCTATAGTTTTCATTTATAAAAATATACCTGCTGCATCAGAAAATAGAAATGCCCTTCAGTGTTAAGCATATTTGGCTTTGTTTGTTTTTTTAGTTTATTTAGGCAAGTTGGCCTTGAACTGTTTGGACGGCCTTGAACTCATTGAATAGCCAAGAATAATTTTGAACTCCTGATTCTTCTCCCTCCACATCCCAAGTGCTGGATGACAGGAATGTACCCAGTTTTATATGGTACTAGGGATGGAACCCCAGGCCAGGCAAGCACCCTCCCTTAGCTAGGCTAATTGTCAGCTGTTGAATAGTGGGTGTTTTTTTTCCCCATTACTGTGGAAACTGCCACTGCTCTACCACTGAACTATTTCCAAGCCCTCCTTTTGCATTTTTAATTTAAAAGTGTCTTTATTTGTTGTGTCTGTCTGTGTGCATGTGATACTCAGAGGACAACTTGGGCAAGTCCATTTGTCCTTTCACTATGTGGGTCCCTGGGATCAAACACAGGCCATCAACTTTCACAGCAAGCACTTTACTTACTGAACCATCGAGGTGGCCCTTAGCTTTTAATTTTGAAAAGGGGCATACATTGTCCAGGCTGGCCTTCAAGTCTCTCTGTAGCAGAGGCTGGTCTTGAACTTACAATCATCCTGCCTTGGCTTCCTCAGCAGCTGGCATGTAGGCCTGTGCTGCAATGCCTGGTTGTTGACTTCTCTTCTATCACGTCTTGACAGACAACCATTCTGCTGTGACACTGAAAGGATTCCTTTTGAAGAGGTGTGTATACACATGTAAATGTCTGTGGGTAGCTTCAGAGGACGCGAGAAGGCGTTGGATCTTAGAGCTGGGGTTATAGGCAGTTGTGAGTTGCCTGTCAGGGGTGCTAGAAACTAACCCTGGGTCCTCTGGAAGATCAGCAAGCCCCTCAACTTCTGGACCAACTGTCCAGCCCACCTCAAAAAGGTTTCACCCTAGCTTTTCCCAATCATCCTCCACTTTTGCTTCATTTGTTAGAAACCCTACGAAAGCTGGATGGCAGTGAAAGCCATTCTGTGTTAGGATCGAGCATCGAGCTGGACTTAAATCTGTTGCTGGACATGTACCCTGAGGAAAGACAAGAAGAAGAAAAGAAGCAGGTAAACCCCTCTACCATTCATCATAACTATTCTCTTTCTCTTTTGGTTTTTGGAGACAGGGTTTCTCTGTGTAGCCTTGGTTGTCCTAGACTCACTTTGTAGACCAGGCTGGCCTCAAACTCACAGCAATCCACTGGCCTCTGCTTCCCAGAGTGCTGGGAGTATAGGCATGTGCCACCATGCCCAGCTATCCATTTATACTTTAGTTACTATTTTTGTCTTCCGTGTGCCTGGTGGGTGCTTTATCTCAATCTGTAAATGAGCAGGCTTAGTGAGAGAAAGGCAGCCCTGTGAGCAGGCCTCAGTGGCATTGCCTCGGGCCTTGGAGCTTAGAGGAATCACTAGTAGTCAGAGGCCATCGAAGACCAAGGCTTTGATTACCTCTCACCCATGGAAGGTGGGGTCAGGGGTCTTCTAGAGGTCAGAAAGTCCTGGATGCCCTCAGAATCAAGACACCCACCATGGGGCTGGAGAGATGGCTCTGTTAAGAGCGTTTGTTACTCTGCGAGAGAACCTGAGTTGGGTCCTAGCACCAACACAGTAGCCCATACCCGTAACTCCAGTTCCAGGGGACCCTGTGCCTCTGCACCACTCACACATGGCACTCACACATACACGCAGGCAAAACTCATACATAGAAAACAGAACAAATCTAGAAGAACATGAGAGGCAGAAGAAGAAAGACTGCTGTGCTGATGCTGGAGGGATGGCTCAGTGGCGAGGAGCTGCTTTTCCTGAGGTAGCAGGCACCAGGTGCCCACATGGCGGCCGACAATCACCTGTAACTCCAGTTACCAGGGCCCCAGTGCCGCCTTCTAGCCTCCACAGGCACTGTATGCATATGGTGCGCCGACACACGTGCAGGCAGAAGCACCCATAAATTTCAAAATCTGAAAAACTGAAAGGAAATCCTGTTGTGGGGTAGTGTCAGAGCAGACTGCTCAGATGGAGGCTGAAGCCAACCGAAGGTCTTTACTAGCTGGGCAGCGACTGCACTGCCTATTCAGGGTTTCTCAGGGTGAGCTTCTAAACACAAAAACCGTGTTCTAGGTTGACACACTTCCGTCAACAGGAACAGTTAGCCCGAAACAGAACTGCACAAGCCAAAAAGCAAGGCCACTGCATTTCTAGACTTCCCAAGGATGATAGGAACTTCGATGAACCGGGCCTTTGCTTTAGTTTTGGCAAGTGGTGCTGTCTTCTTGCTGAGTTTTACAGCCTGAGTGCTACTTCCATCATGGTGTCAATTGTAGTCCCTGCCAGTGTGGGTACTAGGAACTGAACTCGGGTCCTCTGCAGGAGGAGCACGCACTCTCAAGCACCGCGCCTTCTTTTGTTGTAATGATACACGATTAGGCCGCATGTGCTGCCTTGCTTTCAGGTGGAGTTTGCAATCCTAAGGAACATTACCGAGCTAAGAAAGATCTACTGCTTCTACAGCGCCCTAGGGTGTGACCACTCTCTGGATAACACCTTTCTGATGACAAAGCTTCACTTCTGGAGGTTTCTGAAAGACTGTAGGTTTCATCACCACAATATAACTCTTGCGGATATGGACAGGGTTTTGAGCAGTGAGTATCCCAGGTTTTCTCCCTCTTCTTGTTACTGTTACTCGGAATCGGAGCTAAGACATGTTGAGAGAAGATGGGGAGATGGCTCTGGGTGACAGAGACGGCCTCTGCCCAAACCCAAACAAATGGACATGGAGACAAAATAATACAGTAGATGTGAGGTATTTATTGATGACCTTGCAAGAATGGCTATCTGGGTTTAGCAATCATTATGAAAAAGAGAATAGAAAGATTCCAAGAGCCAGAGGCAGTGGACATCTGCAGTGGAAACACATTTGCCAGATGTGAGCGGCGCATATGAACTCACAGCAGCTGCATGCACAAGACCTGAATAAGATGAAGCCAGCCTAAATCCCAGCACAGGTGGGCGAGGGACTCATGAAGTCCCACCCCTAGCTGAAGAGCTATTAACAACTGATGGCTGCTGTGGAAGGGACAGTCAGCTTTCTTCAGGGATGTGGCCCCTGATAGGCTACTCATATTCCAGGAGATGGTCCTACACTCACGCCCACAGAGGCAGCATTAAGTTTTGTTTGGTGTTTTAAGACAGGGTTTCTCTGTGTAGCCTTGGCTGTCCTGGACTCACTTTGTAGACCAGGCTGGCCTCAAACTCACGGAGATCTGCCTGCCTCTGCCTCCCACAGTGCTGCGATTACAGGCGTGCGCCACCGCACCTGGTACATGAAGTTGGGAGGGGAAGGTGGTGAATGGTAGAGGGGATCTGGAGGGGAGGGACTGGGGTACAGGTTACTCCTTTAAAAAGAACAGGTTGCTGGCGTGAAAGCACAGGTGGGTTCAATGAAGCAAACAACTCATCCCTTATCACTCAGTTCTCGCCTCCAGTTCCCCGCTGGCTGAGTGTTCAGGAGCACTCTCCGCAGGGCATCACCTTAGTTTCATTATCCCCTCACACCGTGTACTTTCTCCTCTTCTCCTTTTATGTCCACATCCAACAAGGATTTTCCTGCTGGCTTCTCTCCCACCCCAATAACTTGTTAACATATGCATGGACCTTGTCACATAAGCAGGCTGCCTGTGGGTTTTTTCCCCTAATCCTAAGATAAACTTGTTGAGGTGGGGGTGGCCAGGAGGCCTAGACATGCCTAGACCAGGGGCCAGGTGCATTCTACCTACCTGAAACTTTGTAAGACTAAGTCTGTCTGAGGTATTTGTGTGCTGAAATGGGCCATCATATTGTGTTCCCTGCACACAGCGGGTACGAATGCTCGAAGCACTCGTGTGAAAAGCCAGTCATAGTTCCATGTGCCTGCAACCCCAACATTGGCCGGCAGTTCAATGGCCTTCCAGTTCAGTGACCCTACTTCAAGGCAGTAAGGGAAAGAGCAATAGAGGAAGACGCTTGATGTCCTGGTATGGCCTCAGTGTGCCTGTGCATGCACTCATGTGCGTGAACCACACCCACATACACACACATACACACACACTATGTGCATGCTCATGCATTTAACTGCAGAGATGGTCCTGTACAGTAAGAGCAATGGTCAAAGGCTACCCAAGCAGAGGGCCATATTATAGTCCTTATGCAAATCCAGCCCTGGCCAATGCACATAAGCCAGTTTGTGTGTTGCCCGTGGCTGCTTTTGCCCTGCACCACAGAGCTCAGGAGTGGTGACAAGAGTCAGTCTGAGCCGTAAAGCCTGAAGTATTTATTGTTGGACTTTCATAGAAAAGTTTGCCTCTCCCCATCTATCAACGGGTAAGACTATTAAACTGTTATGTCAGAAGCAAGGAAGATCAGGAAAGGCTTGGAAGACTATAAAAAAGCATCAGGGAACCTTGGGATTGGCCTGGCTTTCAAATTAGAAGGTTCATTCCATTAACAACATTGAAAGTTTTATTCCATTTGAATCAGCTCTGGGAGGAAGGACTGAATGTCTCATATTTAATAAACTATTAGAGAAAGGGGCTATAGAGATAGTTCAGTGGTTAGGGACATCTCCTGCTGTTGCAGAGGACCAAACTTCTATTCTCAGCATCTACATAGGATGACTTACAACTTTCTGTCACTCCAGGGCCAAGGGGATCCAGTGCTCTCTTCTGATATTGTCAGGCACCTGCACTCAATACCATCCCCATACCTAATCTTTTTTTATAATTCTTTATTAATTACATTTTATTCACTTTGTATCCCCCCTGTGGTTCCCTCCCTCTTCCTGTTCCAATCCCTTTCTTCCTCCGCTCTCTGCATGTGTGCCCCTCCCCAAGTCCACTGATAGGGGAGGTCTTCTTTTCCTTCCTTCTGATCCTAGTCAATTAGGTCTCATCAGGAGTGGCTGCATTGCCTAACCTTTTTTTAAATTAGAAAAATATACCTGTTTACCCCAAATTTAAGAGCTAGAAAGATAATTAAAATCCATTTAGAAGTGGGAGCAATGATGGTATATGTCTGTAATCCCAGTATTCTGGAGGCTGAGGCAGGAGAGTTTTGAGTTCCAGGCCAACCTCAACCATATAGCTATCGTCTCAGTCTCTCTCTCTCTCTCTCTCTCTCTCTCTCTGTGTGTGTGTGTGTGTCTCTCTCTCTCTGTCTCTCTCTCTTTCACACACACACACAGGAACAAGATACCTTGTAAATGTCTCATGAGGTAACTAGAGTTCTTCTGTGTGGTGGCTAATCCCCACCATCTTTATTTCAGTCTATAACGGCATACCAATCGAAGAAATCCACTCTCCGTTTAGAACCATACTCTTAAGAACATTCCTGAATTACCTCCTGCAGCTGGCTTACCACATCCATCACAAAGAATACCAGTAAGTTCCACTTCTTTGCCCCTGAAAGGGGACCCTCTTCAGCAGTGGCCACAGTCCTTTTCACGTATTCCACATGAAGGACTAGAGGCAAGGCTTTTCTGCAGAGTCCAGTCACAATGCACTGGGTACTTGAGAACCCCTATCTGGGTTGTTCCGGTTCTGTAAATATCTCCTAGAGCTTTACTCTGCAGTCACAGTCAGTTGTGCCTTCTTGGGTCAGAGTGCCTTTCTCTTTTCTTTTTTCTTTTTTTTTTTTTTAAATGCATTTTAAGGTCTGGAGATGTGGTTCGGTTTTAGAATGCTTGCTTATCTTGCGCGCACAGGCCGTGGCTTCTATCCACAGCACCTCCTAGAATGGACATGGTAGCACATGCCTGTAATCCCAGTACTGAGCTCAGGAGGTGGAGGTGGGAGGATTAGAAGTTAAAGTTTGGGCTGGAGAGATGGCTCAAGGGTTACAAGCATGTGAATTATACAATGACCTTATGCCTACATATGGTTGTGAGCCACCATGTGGTTGCTGGGAATTGAACTCAGCACCTCTGGAGGAGCAGACAGTGCTCTTACCCATGGAGCCATCTCTCCAGCCCTGCTGGCACACCTTTTAGATCTTTTTGGTGTACATTTATGACACATGTGTAACATAGGCATGTGCAGGCAGGAGTGTGCTACAGCATTATGTGGCAGTCAGAGGACCCCCTCAGGTGCCAGTCTCATCGTCCACCTGTTTGCTGTTTGTTGTTTGCTGCTGCGTGTAGCCTGCTAGCTGGCCCGAGAGCTTCAGCCAGCCCTCCTGTTACTGTCCCCCGTCTCTCTGCAGTGCACTGGACTCTCAGGCACGTGCTCCTCCACGTGTGTAGGTTCCAGGTCTTTGGCTAGCACAGCAAGTGCTTTTCCCATGGAGCCATCTCCCAGCCAGCTGCTCTCTCTACTGCATGGCATCCGCAGCGCAAACTCCAGTGTGGATTCTTACTCATGCTCACAGAGTGCGGTGTGGCCAGGCAGGCTCTTCTACTCTAAACTTACTCTGCTTCCCTTTCTGTATTCTGTTTGTTAGAGGCCAGTTGTCAGGTATAGCCTACACTTCAGAAGAGGGCACGAAGCTCCACCTCCTGGAATAATTCATTTTGGTATCATTTTCATCGTAGGAACAGAAGCCCATCACTCTTTCTGTGTTTCACAAAACTGATGACTGAGAACATTCATCCATATGCCTGTCAGGTAAAAGGTAAACACAAAAACAATAGCATTATGTTTACTAGCTTAAATAGTTCTATAATTATTTTTGCATGGATCATATGTGCTCGCATGTGCATGTTTGCATGTATGTGGACCTATTTTTGCAGATGAGTGCACGCAATCACATGTAAACCAGAGGTTGACATCAATATCTTCACTCTTTATCTTTGTGGCAGGGTCTCTCACTGATCTGGCTAGTCTAGCTAGCTTGTTCTGAGGATCCTGTCTGCTCCTAGGATTGTAGGCAGGTTGCTATGCCCAAGGTCATTTTTGGGTGCTGGGATCTAAACTCCGATCTTCATGTTTACACAACAGAGGTTTTTGGTTTTGTTTTTTGGTTTGTTTGTTTGTTTGTTTTCCACTAGTCATCTGCCCATCCATGTAATCTCTTCTGAACGTTGTATTTTTAGGTCATTTATTCAGCGAGCAACAGCGGACGCTCTACTCAATGAATTATATTGATAAGTGCTGGGAGATTTACACAACCTACTGCAGACCAAATGCAGCCCCACCCTATGAGCTGACAATGAAGATGAGGCATTTCCTCTGGATGCTGAAAGTAAGCTTAACAACTCTGAGGGTAGATATTGCCTTTATGTCGATAAGCACTTTGATTTTAATTAAAATAAATTAACGCTACATAAGTAAGGAGCTGAAGATCTGGGGTGACCTTTCATGACCACCAGGGGCTTACAAGTCTCCCTTTACAGGAGACAGTCTGTGACAGCAAGAGACACAGGGACAGGGATGCCTGGCTGACAGGCTCACAGAGCAGGGGGAAGGAAGGCCTGAGCCATGCAGCATCTTCTCATGCACATGTGGCCATTGAGAGGAAGAGATACATTTAAAAAGTGTTTGTATTCCATTGTCTTTATTACCGATTCAGGGTGTGTGTGTGAGTGTGCTGTCAAGCTAGGTAGCAAGCACATTTACCCTTCGGCTATTTTGTCAGACCTGAATACCATTGAAAATATAGCACTAGGGCTGGAGATGGCTTTGACGGTGTAGATTATCTGTTGCTTTTGCAGAGGACCTGGGTTCAGTGCTCAGCACCCATCTGGCAGCCCACCATCGTCTGTAACTCCAGTTCCAAGGGACCCGATGTCTTCTCTTGACCTCCTCCTTGGGCATCAGGCATGAATGTGGTACACATACATACATGCAGGCAAAACTCTCACATACATAAAATAAAATCAATATTTAAGAAATTTTGAATCTATTTTTGGCTGGTCAGGCCTGCACTGTGTCTTGGCTGTGGAGTAGCTGCCTAGCACACACAAGCCCTGTGCTCAGTTCCCAGCACTGCAAAACAAATAAAAAATTGTTGCTCAGCAAAGAGTAACTTTAAAGTGTGTTAGTTTGGAAGCCAAGGATGGCATTAACTTCCTATAGTCCCAGCACTTGTGAGGCTAAGCCAGGAGGATTAGGGATTCAAGGTCATATGGGCTACATGGAAAGGTCCTGTCTCAAAAACCCAGTTGTTAGTCTGAAAAGCAATTGGCCTGTTCTTCATGCAGTGTTCTCAAACTAACAGTTGCTAGTTTCTTTCTATGATGTTTTTAATTTGTGCTTGTGGGGAGGCAAATAATGAGATGGAAATAATCAAATATTAAGGAGAGAGTATTTAAGGATTTAACAGAATTGTATAAATGTGAAAACCTAGTGTCTAAATGTAGGGAAATGTGTTTAAAAATACATGATCTGGAGGTGGACTATTATACAGTGGTTTGTTTTCTTTTTTCCTCATGCTTACTTGTTACTGAAGAACAAGTCATTTGTCCCTGAGAGTCAGGCATGCTGGCTCTGACTGATTGCACCTTCCCAGGCAGGCTTACCCTCTTCTTACCCACAAGTCCACGACAGCGGCAGTTAGAAACAGACGCGATTCTGTTTCCTCGCAGCCTTAGGTGGTAACTGTCATCTCCATTGTGTTTCCTTTAGTGGTAGTGGGGTTCATCAGTGGCTCCTGCAGCAGCAGCCGGACGCTTTCCACAGACCTTCACTCTCGGCCTTAGCAGCCGGCAGTGTCTTTCCTCAGTGGCTAATCAATGTCCGCTGTTTCCATAGAAGCAGTACCAGCAACTTCCTACGTCATTTCTCTTACGTTAACTTTAAATGTGCTAAGTGAGCGTATATGTGTGTGTGCTTCTGTGTGAGTATGGGACGTGCATGCAGGTGCCCTTGAAGGCAAAACACAGGGGATCCTCTGGGGCTGGAGTCACCAGGGATTGTGAGCCACTTACTCTGGGGGCCGGCTGGCAAGTCCTAGGGATCCGCCCTCCTCCGCTTCCACAGTGCTGGGACAGTAGGTGTGCGCGGCTAGGCCGGCTTTTCACGTGGATGGTGGGGATGGAACTCATGTCCTCACGCTTGCAGCCCCCAGCGGTTCTTATCCAAAGAGGGGTCTTTCTGTGTGCCACAGTCTGGCCTCAGACTTGCAGTCCTTCTACCTCTATCTCCTCCTCATGAGTTTTTAAGGTACTAACTTCTAATACATTTTCTGAAGGTATTATGTCGCGGTCGTTTACATTAAAACATATGCCTATTTTAAATGTAACTGCAGGCATCTATGTTGGTGTCATCTTTTTACAGGACTTTAAGATGATAAATAAGGACTTAACTGCAATGAAATTTATGACTGTGATAGCGGAGGATAGCCCTTTCATGTATGATGGAACTGACAGCAACTTTGAACTTGAGGTTTGTAAAGTGTTACTACAGACGGCACAGATCCAGTTTAAGCCGTGTATTTCTTCTGTGTGCGCTGTATGTATTTTTTTTTAAAAATGGTGGGATATAGATATATACCCAATTGCCTTTTCAAACATCAGAGATTAATATTAGAAAGGGGGTGGGGAGGTGGCTCAGTTGGCAAAGTGCCCACTGTGCAAGTGTGAGGATCTGAGTTCCGCCCCCAGCACCCACGTGAAAAGGTCAGGGGTGGCGGTGCATGTTTCTTGGTGAGCTCCAAGCCAGTGAGAGGCACCATGTCCAAGGGCAAGGTGGGGTCAACTTCTGGCTTCGCCACACAGACGCGCCACTGCACACACGTGTAGCACACATACAGAGGAATAATAAACGAGTAAGGAGTCACCGATCAGGCACTCAGGGAGGCGGAGGCAGGTGGATCACTTTGAGTGCAAGGCCAGCCTGGTCTGAGTCCAGGACAGCCAAGGCTGCACAGAGAAACCCTGCCTCAGGAGAAAAGAAAAAAATAAATTAAAAAGGATATCATCAATCAATTCCTGATCCAATGTGGAGTGTGAGAATAAAGGCGACCTCCTTGTGCTTTTTCTCATTGCAGCTGGTTTTCCTGGAATTCTTTGAAGCTCTCTTATGTTTCTCCTTCTGCTGCATTTTTGACCAGATCACCAGATCCTTTGTAAAATTCCCATCTGGAGAGCCTACCACAAACCGCTACAGCAGCACTCACACGATATTAAACCAGGTGACAGACAATACAATGGAGTGCCTAAAGCAAGGGGTGACTTCAGCCTGGGGTGGTTAACGGCTCACCAAAACTTCTCAGGCCTTCACTATACTTCCAGGAGATAATTTAGGACTTGAGAAAATGTGTGCTGTCTTTCACTGTTGGGAGGAGTGTGTGGTTTTGTTGGTTTTTAAGTTAGGGGAACTGTATTTCCTGGTCATGGCCATAGCAGTGGGAGCAACACGGTGAAGCTCAGTACACAAAGCAGCTAGACAGAGAAGATCCGAGGCAGGCCACCGTGAGATGCCCTGCCTAGCGGGCAGAGTGGAAAGCCCACCCGAGAGCAGATGCCAACAGACAGGTTCTGGCTCTGCCTGCAGGGCTGCCCGGTCACCGAGCATGAGGCTTACTCACAGATTAACACCTTCAGTCACTGTGAGACCCTCAGACAGCCAGGACCATGATCGATCAGGAAATGAGACTTTGGGTCAAAATGAGACATATCGGATGTTTAGCGGGGGTTTCACGTTGGTGGATTTGGAGGGTTTCTGATGTTTGAGACAGTCACATGGAGCCACAAGAGACATTCTAGGAGTTCCTGAGCCCAATGACTAGGAGAGTCTTTTTTTTTTTTTTTATTAATTAATTAGTTTAGAAACATGGTCTCGATAGGTAGCCCTGGTTAGCTGGATCTCACAGAGATCTGCCTGCTCTGCCTCCCAGTGGTGGAATTAAAGGTTTTGCTACCACACCCGGCTTGGAAGACTCCGCAGGGCTTCTCGCGTGAGGAGCTTTCTCACTGTTGATCCAAGCGACAGCTCTCACCACAAATCCCTGGGGTACCTTATGGGAAACAGGCTTTGTGTTCTTTTCAGCCCTTTGCAGCCCATCGCTTCAGCTAGCTATGCCTCCTCCAGCCGAGGAGAAGAGCGCCTCCCAACACACCAGGGGGCTGGTTACAGGGTACCACCTGGGTCTGGGCTCTTCTCCAGGCAAGAGAGCGTCTGCCTGGCCTCTGTCTACTTTCCAACACTATAACAAAGTAACGAAGGCAAATTACCCTCGTTTAAAAACAGAAATGTAGCTCATGGTCCTGGAAGCTTAAGTGCTAATTATGTCCTCCTCCCTGGCTGGCTGGCACCCTTAACCATGTCCCAAAGGCCATGTCTCAGCACCGTAGTCAAATTAACAACTTACAAATGAATCTTCCAGGACACTCGAACACAGCAGATGTCATTCTCGTGAGCTCTGTCACATGGGGTGTGTGAATCTGCCAGACACCATCTGTCCACTTCACGCCCAGTTTCAATGCATCATTCCCCGTAGTGTCTCTGTTGTTTTTATAGCTCAGGGGTTTGTTCCCTCCCCACTTTCTGGAAACCGGAAGTTTACGTGTCCCAACTTCATTGCTCTTCCCTCCTGTGATGAAACTGGCCCTCAGAGATTAGGTAGAGTCCAGCAACTTAATACACTACAGTAACTGGGGTGGGCAAGGTGGAGTGATTTTTCTCCGGAGGTCTGCAGACGTCTCCTACCCTTATATTATCAGCTGAATGGGCATGCAAGTATAATAAACTACAGGAGGCCAAGGAAAGGCTCGCCAGAGAGAAGTGGAGTAGGATTCACAAGGGCTTCGATAGGCATATTCCCGATGCTGGCATGGAGAAGCCACATCACAAGGGAGGAAGGCTATTAGACCTGAAATGCCCACAAAGGCCCATGTGTTAGAAAGGCTCGGCCACCAGTCTGAAGACAAAAACAAAAACAAATCCCCATCTACATGAAATTCATCACACAGCAATAATGTCTTTCCAAAATACAGCCGAGGGGCTGGAGGGATGGCTCAGCAGCTAAGAGCACTTGAGCACAGTTAGAAGACCTGAGGCAAATGGATCTCCTTGAGTTTGAGACCTTCTTGATCCAGGCCAGCCAAGGCTACATAGTGAGAGTTTGTCTCAAAAAGAAAAACTCTTAATAAATTGTAGGTAAGAAGGGACTCTGATATTGAGAGTTACCACATTATTTGGAATCAAATATTGTTTTAAATTACAACAAAAAAATCACAGTGCATACGAAGAAAAGTATGCCACGTTCAAAGGAAAAAGGCAAGCCCTTGGAGACTGATGGGAAAGATGAGGTAGCAGATTTATAAGACAAGTAATTTAAAACAGGTATCTTAAAAGTACCTAAAAATGCTAAAGGAAGATACAGAGAAAGAAGGTTGGAGCGCAACAAGATGGTTCAGTGGGTAAAGGTGCTTGCCCCTAAATCTGATAACCTGAGTTCGAACCCACATGCTGGAAGGAGAGAACCAGCTCCCAGAAATTGTCCTCTGACCTCTGTGTCCCTACCCAACAAAATAAACAGACAAAATAAAAAGAGAAGGATGACATACTTACAAAGTGGAAATATCAATAAAGATGTAGAAAGCCTTTTATAAAATAAATTCTAGAGATAAAAAATATAAGAACTTAAATGGAAAAACTCACAAATAGAATTCAGAGGCAGATCTGAGCAAGCTTAAAACATCTTGACAACAGGCAACTGAAATTACCGAGTCTGAAGAAGAAAAAGAAGAAAGAGTAAAAAGTGCATAGCCCTTATCAAATGGACAAGTACGCACACTCTTCAGAGTGAGGTCACAGCGGTAACAGGAGCCCACAGCAGCCGACATTTATTTGCTTTGATCAGGGTGCAGACTCTTCAGTCCAGAGCCAAAGCAAATAAACCTTCAGCCCCTGCCCTTGTCACCCACTTCTGCCTGCCAAGCCCTTTTTCCTAAGGTTGTGCAGCCTTCAAAACAGTGCCACAAACAGGGGCTGAGCGTCGAAAACATGAGCCCGTGAGGACATGTCAGCTTCAAACCATTGTCACTAGTCTGATTGCTTTAAATAATATCAATCTATAACCTATCTACAGTAAATGCATATTATTTATATATTATGTAATATGTAAAGATACTATTATCTATGTGTAGTAGCACACGCCTATAATCCCACCACTCAGGAGGCAGAGGCAGGCAATCGCTGTGACTTCAAGGCCAGCCTGGTCTACAAAGCAAGTTCCAGGACAACCAGGGCTACACAGAGAAAACCTGTGTTGAAAAAACAAAAACAAAAAAACAGAAACCAAACAAACAAAACGAAAAAAGCTTTCAGTCCCTGAAGAAATAACCCAGAGGTTAAGAGTGTTTGCTGCTCTTGCAGAGGACCTGGATTCTCAGCACCCATGACAGGCAGCTCACAGCCCTGTAACTCCAGTTTCAGGTCCAACTCCTTCTGGTCTTCATAGGCATTGCACACACACGCACAGACACATGTACACATATACACACATGCTTGAAAACAAATACTCCATCCAAAAGGAGGCAAGAAACAGAAATGAAAATTAATAACGGAACCAATAGCAGGATGTAGTTAATCACCTCAAATGCAAATGAGCTGCATCTGAGACAGGCTTACATCAAAGTTGTCAGATGGCTACAGTGAGCCATCTATAAATAAAAAGACAGAAATAGATGAAAGGGAAGGCAGGGAGTATTGAGCTAAATATTTCAGTGTGTTAGTCAGACCTGCCCCAACCCTTCCACCAATTCCGTGATGTACTTTCTCCAACCAAGCCCTATGTCCTCAATTTTCCACCACCTCCCAATAATGCCATCAATTTACAAATCCATGAGCATAGGGATCAGTTGATTGTATATATCTGAGCTTTCATAATCCCCTCTCAATGATTGGCTGCACCATCAGGGGACCAACCTTCCAACACATGATCCTTTGGGGGACACCTTACATCCAAACCATCACACCAGGTGAAAGGTATCACCAGGGACATAGTCTGATGGTGAGAATAGTGACAATGTCAAACAGTGATCAGATCAAATGGTCAACTATGTAAAAGGAGCAAGTCCTATTGGCTAGTCATGTTATGATGGAACTTTAAAGCGCATGCAGAAACTGATAGGAAGAAAACCAAAACGGGTCAGTCTGAGCTGGGACATTCCAGGCAGCACAGTGCTTGCTCAGCACACCTGAAGCCCAGGGCTCCACCCCTAGACTTCCTATGTCAGGAGTGGTGGTTGTAATCCAGCAGGATTGTAATCCCAGCATGCGTGGAGGCGGGAGGGTCAACAGTTCAGGGTCCTTTTCTGGTATACACTGAGTCTACGATGAGACTGCGTGCCACGAGAGTCTGCATCAAAAGGAAAGGAGCACATAATGCATGTGATCACATTTACGTAAAAAGTGCATATCTACCAAGCGCAAAGTGCAGTGGTAGAAAGCATTCCGTGGGAATGGGAAGGTGTCTGAGGCAGGGCTCCCGGGTGTAGACACATGCTCTTAGCGAGATTACCCTCCCCAGTGACACTTCACTAAAGGGTCTTGTGTGAATGCGTACACTCATGTACACGCCTCTGTGGACACCGTGAACTCACCTGCTTCCCTCGCCCCCTCAGAGCTTCCACAGGAGCCTAAGTGTAGTCACAAGCCTTGACTCCGAGGTCCACTTCGGCAGCACCAAGTCATCCTCAGGAGTTCTGCCTGATGGTAGAATCAGGCAGTCGGAGGTCAGTATCTTACAGTTCACCGTGTCCTGACCGTGCGGCCACAGCGGCGGCCACCGCACGGTGGCCATTATGGGAGGAACACTCTTCTGTGTTTTGGGGCCAGCCCCAGACAGTAATTCCCTCTCCCGCTGACCTCGTAGGCTGGTACTGAGTGGAAAGCGGAGCGAGCGAATAGCAGCAGCCCTCGTTTCCAGGGCTCTGTCCGCTGCCCAACACTTTCGAGGGGTCAACTCATTTAAAAGCCCTTCCCAGATGAACTGCAGGCCTCGTTGTTACTTCTAGGAGCCAAAAAGGTTACATCATCACCCGTGGTCACCTACCCAGCAAGCAGTGGGGCTGAGGGCTTGTGCTCAGGTAGTTTGATTCTAGAATCTGTACCTGTCATTGTGAGCTGGACCCCTTCAGACTTCAAGGGTATGTGAAGGGTATGGCTAATTCAGAGAGGGGGCGGGAAGCCAGCCAAGTAGAGTGTCTCTCGGCAGAGTGTCTGGCGTCTCCGGTGACAAAGCAGTTGGGAAACTCTCAGAAGCATCATGGTCAGAGATGACAGTGACTAAGACTGAGGGTGGGAGGAGGAATCGGGGCCGAGGGTCTCAGGAGTGAAAGAGGAGGAGGCAAAGGTGAGTCTGGGAGTTTTGGCTTGAGTGTCTGGGAGAATAAGGAGTTGCTATTTAGTACAGTGGTGAAGATCAGAATCTTCATGGCCTCACCCCAGCCTGGACTACAGTATTGAGTTGGAGGCCAGTCTGGGCTACAAGGATAGAGCAAACAACTGAAAGCGAAACACTCCTGAGACACTACAGGGCACTCTAGTGCGTACCTGTAAGCCCAGCACTCTGCAAGCCAAAGCAGGAGAACTGCATGCCTGGGGCGAGTCTGAGACACTTCTCCAAACACAACACGAGCAAAAGAGGAAGAGCCTCATTGACAAGTCCCGTGTATTGATAAGGTAGGAGGCTGGCTTTAGTCCTACAAGGCTGCAGAATAACATTGTCCTTCTGCTTTTTAAAAAAGCACAAGCTCAAGTCCCTGAGTGAGGAAAAACCCTCCAAAGTGACCCTCAAGTCTCAAGGAAGAGGCCTGCTGTTTATGTCGCCACAAGGTGAGCGTTCGCGGTCGCTCCCACATCACTGTGGTCTGTGGAACTTGACAGCACTCCTGGCTGTTGGGCAGGGAACAACACTCAGGATTAAACCTTGAGCTTCACGTGAACTGGACAGGTACTCTAACACCAAGCTACAGCACCAGGCGTACAGTTTGGGGTCAGCTGTCTCCTGGCCTCCTCAGGCCAGACACCCTTCCTCAGCCTGGGGCTGCACGCACTGCAGTCAGCTTTTCTCTCGAGCCGTAGTCTCATCCCATTCCCGCCATGAGACAGAGTCCAATTATGCATCCCTGGCTGGCCTGGAACTCACTACCTAGGCCAGGCTGGCCTGGAACTCACAGAGAGCCACCTGTCTCTGCCTCCCGAGGGCTGGGATTGAGGATGTATACAGCTATGCCTCCCCTCTTTGTTTGTTTGTTATTTCTTGAGTTTCCTGTATTCCAGTTTATTTGTTTATATGCTCCCCGCCCCCTTTCTCCCATGGTGGGCGTCATCCTTTCTGAGGATATACAGTCCCCATAACAGAAAGTGCTATAAAGGGAAACCCAGTTAATGACTTAAAAAAATACTAATCTTGTATTTATTTTATGTATGTCTGTAGGCACTTATGTGTGTAGGCCTGAGTGTGCCTGTGTGTGTGGAGGGCAGAGGACTTGTCTCTCTCCTTTCATGTGGGTCCCAGAGATTGAACTGAGGTTGTCTCTTGATCGCAAGCACCTTTACCCTTGTCATATCTACTTTCTCTTTCTTCCTTTCTTCCTTCCTTCCTTCCTTCCTTCCTTCCTTCCTTCCTTCCTTCCTTCCTTCCTTCCTTTCCTTTCCTTTCTTTCTTTCTTTCCTTTTTTGAAATAGTTTGTCTACTTGTGTTGTTGACATTATTTGTTGGCAATTGGTCTTCCCTTGATTTGCCTTGTACCTCTGGCCTCTTTACAGTGAATTACCACTGCGTGTCAGCTGCTCTGCCTCTCTGTGGCTACTGGTATCTGCTGTGGAAGCCAATCTCTTGGCCCACCAAAATCCCACTTCATCTGATGACCTCTTCTGCATGGCTGTAGCTTACTGTCTTCTAGATTGGCTCCTCAGTTGAGTGGGAATATAAGAATATCGGTCTTCATTTTCAGACTTGCTCTGACTTACTAACCGGAGCCCTAGTTGTATACAGTTCCATTCTCTGCATTTTATTTTGTGGTTCTGGGAATGGAATCAGGCTGTCACATGTGCTAGCAAGTGCTTACCACTGAACTGAGTATGAGCCCAGCACCGAGTCTTTAAATTCTCAAAATCACATCTTTAACATTTTTTAAAAGCATATATTTCTCTGCCAGAGGACCAGAGTTGGGTACCATATACAGTTGCCTGTCACTCCAGCCCAGCGACTTTGCCCCCTTTCTGTACTCCGCAAGCATCTGCACTCACAAGTGCGCACACACCTCTCCCCTATATACACATAGTTTAAAAAAACCAACAGCTTAGCATGGTGGGGAACAGCACTCGGGAGGCAGGGGCAGCTAGATCCCTGTGAGTTCCAGGCCAGCTTGGGCTACAGAGCGAGTTCCAGACCAGCCAGAGCTAAACAGTGAGACCCTGTCTCAAATAAAACAAACATAACACTGCTGTTCAAGAAAAAGACTTGTGGGAGGTGGCTGAAGAGCAGGGTTGACAATTAGCCTTGGGCCACTGTGCGCTTGCTCCTCTCCTAGCTGCATTTTACAATTTCCTCAGTCCTCACAGGCTGCAGTGTCCCCGCCTCACCACAACGGACAGAAGACAACACATACACTCTACTGACGTTTATTCTAATTACACTCCATTGCAGACAAATATGAAAAACCCAGAGATGAGCAGAAAGAGAAAATCAACGTGTGGGTGAACAACCTCTATGTCTTCTTTGCGACCGTGCTCTTCAGAGCCTACAAACGTGAGGAGATGCTCAAGGAGAAAGTGAAGGAAAACCGGCTCCAGGAAGTAGTGCTGGCTCAGCAGAGGAAGATAGAGAACGACGAGCTAGAAGCCAGGTAGGGCAGGGTCTCCACCTGCTCCATGGTGCATATAAAGCTTTCTTCCCTGTCTTCCGAAGCACGATGACAGGTTTATAGTGAAGCACACGATGATGTTCTGGGACCCCAGGCTCATGGTGAACTACGCAATATCCTAATCTCTGATGGCAGAAAAAGAAAGCCCTAGGGGACAGAGATGTAACTTTGTGGTAGATGCTTGCCTAAGATATGTGAAGCTTGGGTTTGGTCCCTAGCACTAGATTTAACACACACATACACAGACACACATACAAACACACGCTTCCGAAGCTTTTGTGTGTTCTGCAGCTGGGTCTGATGGCCAAGCCTGCAAGCTCAGCACTCAGGAGGGATGGAAGACATGATAACCTTACCAGGCTGCTTTCTAGCTTCTCAGCTGCAAAGGAAAGCGCTCCCAGATCACATTATCAACATGAAGGTGTTACCTGGAGCACTCAAGTACAACAGATCATCTTATTTCCAAGCATGCTGAAACAGCATAAAAATTCAGGGCTGGAGAAAGAGTACAGGGGATAAGAGCACGTGTTGCTCTTACAGATGACCCTAGTTCAGTTCCCAGCACCCATGTCACCTGTAATGGATGCTCCAGGGGGGTTCATATCTTGTGGATTCCACGGGCACCTGCACTTAGGCGCACATAACGTCCCAACCCATGCACACAAACTTAATTTTTGTTGTAGAAAATAAAAAGGCTATTAATGTTTATTATTAATAGCCTTAATTGTTTTGGTGGTTATATTTAACTCCATATCAATAAAAGACACAAACGCCTGATAGATTTTTAATAAGCCTTATTTCACCTGGGACTGGGCAGATATTTCCCCCTAAACTACCTTGTCATCTCCCAGTGCCACATTCCATGCCATTTGCTCTAACCATTCCTGTCTGGGCTACTTCTCATCCAAAATAATATAAATACTTGCACATGCTTTCCTCCCGGGCTTTTCCTCTCTAGCCGCTCTGATCCTCGGAGCAGGCTCCTCCCTGCCGCGTGCATCTCTCCATGCTAACCCTGGCAGTCTCACTTTCTTCTTTTCTCTCTCTGGCTCTCTCTCTATCCTTCTGTCCTCCAAGCCCTCGAACCTTAGCTTCGCCTACCTCACATCTCAGGAAGAGAAATAATTAGCAATTAATACAAAGCACCAGACCATGCAGTAACAATTTTTGCTTATTTTTTTTGAGACAGGGTATCACTGTGTATCACTGGTTGTCCTGGAACTCTCTCTGTAGACCAGGCTGGCCCAGAACTCACAGGAATCCACATGTCTCTGCCTCCCAAGTGCTAGGATTAAAGGTATATGCCACCACACCCAGCTACCGTATAATTTTTTTAAAAATAAAAATTGTAAAGTGGTTTTACACTTTCACAGCTGAGCTCTCGCTGTGCTTTTTAGGCTGAACGTCCTACGTGAAGAAGAGGCCAAGAGACAAGACTTCGACGTTGAAATCACTGTGCTCAAGGAGGTGCTGGAGCCTCCGGTCTCACTGCCACTCACACCCACCTCTGCTAAAGATGAAATGGCATCCACCCAGAGCAGCAAGGCCAGCCCTGGCAGGAAGAAGAAGAAGTGAAGGTAATGTGGGTCATGGCTGAGCTGCAAGGACGAGCAGACGTGAAAGCTGTGGCTAATGTCCCATACAATAAACTGTTTCAATTTGGCTTCTGATTGGAGTTTCTGAGATGTTCTACCTTGGCCCACATAGTAAGTTTCTTGTATGGCTGCAATTGCAAAAGCCAAACTGAATGAGTATGCAGACGCGCACAGATTAGTGAGTGTGCATTAGATATATTCTTGTAAATCGAAGTTAGCTAGGCATGGTGGCACATCCCAGCACTCAGGGGTCACAGGCAGGAAAGTGCTGCAAATTCAAGGCAAAAATATGGGTTACAGAGACAGCTCAGTGCTTGAGAGCACTTGCTGCTTTTATAGAGAACCTCAGTTTGGTTCCCAGCATTCACACAGGGGCAGCTTACAGTAGGCTGTACCCCCAGCTCTAGGGGATCTGGCCCTGTCGTCTGGACTTTGTGGATACTCACAAGATGTATACACACACAAAGTAATTACTAAATAAAAAGCAAGGTGGAAGGCTGGAGAGATGCCTCAGAGGGTAAGAACACTGACTGCTTGTCAAAGGTCCTGAGTTCAATTCCCAGCAACCACATGATGGCTCATAACCATCTATAGTGAGATCTAGTGCCCTCTTCTGGTGTGCAGGCATACATGCAGACAGAACATTGTACATACAATAAATAAATCTTTATAAAAAACAAGGCAGGATACAATCAAGAACCATCTCTGGCTTTCAGGTGAGCATGCACAGGTTTAAGCACACCCGTACACATGTAGAAACATACATACACACCTCACTCATGTGCACAGACCCACACAAAGATGGAGAGGAATACAGGAAGACAGTGCTGGCCTCTGGGCTTCACACACATCAACACATGTGCTTGCACACCTGCACACACATCTGTAGAGACATAAATACATGCATGATTATAACACACCCAACACATACCCAACACACACACATACATTAGCCCTGCAAAACTGACAGAGTCCCAAGGAGGAGTGCCATCTTGACCAGAGAAGCAAAAAACCCTTAAATCAGCAAAATAATGGAACATTTCAACTAAAAGTTTGAATCCACAGACTCTGGAGCCAGAATGCGACAGGGAGGAAATGATGACTGAGACAAACACATGTAACTCCAAACAACACCCCACAGGCAACGGCAATCTGAGACGCAACCACAGCTCTTCAAGAAACACACACACACATGCAGTCTTAGCTGGGCACGTTGGCATACTCCTGTAATCCCAGCACTTGGGGACGCAGAGGCAGGTGGATCTCTGCGAGTTCAAGGCCAACCTGGTCTATAAAGCAAGTCCACAACAGCCAAGGCTACACAGAGAAACCCTGTCTCAAAGACAAAACAAAACAAAACTGCAGTCTTGGGTTATGCATAGGCAGGAAAAGAATTATGATGGAAATCGTGAGTTATTTAGAGCCAAGGAATAAGGGAAACAATACAAAATGATGAAGCTGTTTCCTCACCTTTCCTCATGCAATAGGTCTGTGGAGATTACGACAAGCAGATTATAGAGAGCTGCTTTGAGGGCTGGGGAAATAGTGTGTTTTTCAGACCACTCAACTAATTCTCTCCCAGACCCTGGGCTGTCAATATCACTAAAATAGGGTTGAGTGAAATTCAGCCATATTTCACCTCAGCTGTGAAGGGATACAGGGTGTTGTGGCTCTTGGGAGGGCCTCACGACAGAGGAACAACATCTGGTTAAAGTACCCCAGGGTGATGTCATTAGCTTTAGGTGTGATCTACATAACGCAAGCACTCAAAGTGAATCAAATCTAGCGATTGTATCAGTGCCTCACTGTTCTCCCCTTAGTGAACAGGCAGACCCCAACACTAAGCATCCCAAAGCTGTCACAATACTGTTAGTGTTTTGTTTTGTTTTGAAGACTTTTATTTTAAAATGTGTGTGTGCATGTGAGTACACATACCCAAGAAGACCAAAAGAGGGTGTGAGGTCCCCTAGAGCAGTGGTTCTCATCCTGTGGGTTGTGGCCCCATCAGGGGCAGACTGACCCTTTCACGGAGGCCACAATCAGATTATCCTGCATGCCACATATTGGCATTATGATTCATAACAGTAGCAAAATTACAGTTATGAAGTAGAACCAAAAAGAATTTTATGGTTCAGGGTCACCACAACATGAAGAACTGGATTAAAGGGTCACAGCATTAGGAAGGTTGAGGGCCACTGGCTTAGAGCTTATAGTTATAGGAGTTATGAGGTGCTGAGAACTGAACCTTAGTCCTCTGCAAACACTGCTGAGCCTCTCTCCAGGCCCTGGCCATGAGTCTTGAGCCCTAGTGCAGTCAAACAACCAGCAACAGAAGACTCAACAGGAAACCAGAATTTTAAAAAACTTTAACAATTTATTAGTCTTATTTTCCAGTAAAATATCCACATAATGTCAGAAGAATGGAATGGTATTCAGCTGATTACCTTCAATTAATTCCACATAAATATTTAACATCTAAAAACCTCAGGGAATCATCAGTCACGTAGAAATTTGATTTTTCAAAGCAGGTATTGCTACTGTAGTCTCTAATCCAGTCACTATCTTGACCAGTAAGTTGTAATGGTAAACAAGGTTTGTTGAGGTTTTAGAGATGTTTTGGTGAGCCAGTCAGTCCAAGAAGAAGATGTTATTGAACTGCGTGGCGCAGAGTTTTTTCACCTCTTCTGCAAAAAGGACAGAGAACAGTATCAGGGCACACAGCTTCTTGTCTTAAAGGCTGAATGGTATGACCAGAACCTCCAGTTCTTTGGAAATGAAGTTAGGAAATAAGTAAACATCTGCATTAATTTTGACTTTTAATTCCAGAAGTGTAAGCAACAATAACAAACAAATTACCCACCAGAGACGGCAGTTAAAGAAATGTGTAACAAACTCCCAGCATGTTAGAATACCTTTTGTTTGGGTCTGAAAGAAGCACCTTGAGGAGCGCCTGAGAGACTCGTGGGTCAGAGCATAGAAATGTGGCGCTCTCGGGAAGCTGGTGGGACGCACAACTCTAGCCATAATCTTGAGAGGTAAAGCAGCTGCTTTACAAAGATTCTACTAAATTCCTACTTTATTTTCATTTCTGTGGTGTCAAGAATCGAGCCCAGGGCCTTGAGTATGCGAGGCAAATGCTGTCACATTAAACTACACAACCCTCCCCTAAATTCAGAATCTTATTTCAGGCATGCACTAACTGATGCTTTTCATGCACACAAACACTATATTGCAAATGAGGGTGTAAAATGGCTTAACACTGGGCACAGTGCATCACCTTAGGAAAATGGCAAGAGAATGGCTGTTGGTTCAAGGTTGGACTGGTCTACATAGCAACTTTTAGGCCAGCCAGACGGAAGATGGTCTCAAAAAACAAAACCCCCCATTATAAGCTGCTCTATTCCCTTTACAATATGGACACGTCCCTCACCTTTATGTCCCTGCTGTCCGCACCACTCTACAGTGAGCAGCGGAGAGGCCCACCCAGGGAGGACACCACCCTTTCTCTAGGACAACATCACTAAGACCCACAAAGCAGCCGCTGGGGCACACTGCCCAGGAAGCCAGACCAAGCCCACTTTGATGGGAAGGCAGGTAAGGACGGTCTGTACTCTTCTGCTCATGGGCAGATGGTGACAGCTAGAAATGCCACGTGAACGGGGCAGCCTGAACAGACAGACTTGTACTCAAAACAGATTTTTGTACTGTGTACAGCTATGGATTGTGGATTGTTTGTTGATTTATTTTTCTTTTGTAGAACTTTAGAAAACAATTTTCTTTTAGGCACTGTTAAGTTTCCCATGCCACAGGAGAAATAAAAGCATTAAGTGGGTAACTGGAGACCCGGCTCAGCAGTCAGGAGCACTTGCTATTCTTACGAGGACCCGACTTGGTTGTCAGCACACACAGGCAACCAACAACTGTCTCTAAGTGCAGTTCCTTCTTCCAGGGACTAGACACACAGCAGGGCACAGATACATATGCAGGTAAAACACCCATACACACAAAATAAAATAAAAAAACTAAAACCCAAAATACATAAAATGGAAGCGTCTGCTTAGAATCTTAGCAGTCATGCTCTGGGTTTTGTAGTTTTCCTCCTCCTCTATGGAGTACTAGAGACTGAATTCAGGTCTTCACACGTACTAGGTAGGTGCTCTGAACAATGGGCTACATCCCTAATGTGATCCCTGACCCCCTTCCTATTTTTCCCCACTCCTTTGAGATAGAGACTCCATAAATTGCCAGGCAGATTTTGAATGTCGGCTCCTCCTGCATGAGCCTCTTGAAAAGCTGGGATTGAAGACCAGGAGTTTTTGTTTGCTTTTGCTTGCAGGGGCAGTTGTGAGCTGCCTCATGTGCATGCTAGAAACCAAACTTGAATGCTCTGCGAGAGTAGCAGATGCTTATGGTGGTCACGGTGGAGCACGCCTGAAATCCCAGCACTCGGGAGGCAGAGGCAGGCAGATCACTGAGTTTGAGGCCAGCCTGGTCCAGCCTGGTCGACAGAGTGAGTTCCAGGACAGCCAAGGCTGCACAGAGAAACCCTGTCTCAAAAAAGAGTAACAGAGGTTCTAAACCTCTGGAGACAGCTCTCCAGTCCCTATTTATTTATTTTTAATATTCATTTTTATTTTATGTGAATGTGTTTTGTCAGCATACATGTATATGTACCGTATGTGTGTCTGGTGCCTTCAGAGGTCAGAGGAAGGTATCAGATCCTGTGGAAATGAAGTTACTGATGGTTGGAAGCCATTGTGTGGAACCAACCTGGGTCTTAACCCCCGAACCACTGCTCCAGCTCCTCATCATTTTTTTCCTTTTTAAAAGAACTTCATATTTACTTGTATATACACCTGTGTGAGAGAGGTATATATGCATGTGCCATGGCACATTGTATGAGGACAACTTAGGTGTCTCAGGGCTCAGACTCACGTCATCAGGCTTGCAGCATGTTACTGTTCCCACTATGCCATTTCACAGGCCCTGTTTGCTTTTTCCACGACAAGGTCTCACGTATCCCCGGCTGACTTCAAACTCACTATGTTGCTGAGGATGATCTTGGATGCCTGATG